CTAGAGATCGACCACTTCTGACCTCAAAGGATGGATGTTGAATTGGCTTGGCCTTGAATTGGCTTGGCCTCTTCCTTTCAAAAAACTTGAAAACAACTCGCTTTTTGGATAGGCAGGGTAGAGCGAAGGGTACGGTGGGAGTAAGCCACTATTAGCAAGGATGCAAAGAGGCCAGGGCGCTTCAACGAAGCTATTCCAGTCTGCATTGTCAATATTGTTTGCCCACCAGGGAGAGTTTGGTGAATTGGAAGGTGTAGTCACCCTTCGACAGGCTTTGAAAGCACTCCCACACCTGCAACCAGATTTTAGATATCACAGCCTTTGAACCTAGATCCAACTTGTTCCAACCCTAGCTCCTTACATCTTCTTACCCTGTCGACATCTCAGCGCACCCAATGCAAGACAGCGCTGCTCTCATTGCCCAAGAACAGCATTGGCCTGGGTACTTTCACAAAGCAGGACAAGCACTCATCCATCCATGACAGCTTTTCAAATGTCTTCTCAAGTGCTAAGCTCTAAGAGCTAGGCTCAACCGAACGTTGCAAGACAAAAATCATCGTGAACTACGTTTGATTCTATCATGTCATGAACCCCTATCCTGTACTGTCCTATCTATCTTACCTCTTACCTCATTGCTACAGATTCGTCCTCTGCTTCGGTCGAAGGCGGACAACACAAGCGGGCCGCCGGCTGTGAAACAAAAGTGAGGAACCTCTGAGCTTCGAGAATTGATTCTCCTCCAAAACATGTCAATGTGCAGACCTTGATCTGTAGACATCGGTCAGCAAACAAGAAGGAAATTGCCAGGTGCTGAGCCTACAGAGGCTTGTCCGAACTGCATAGGGTTCCCTACACCAGGGATGATGAGGCAGTGTACGGATGCTGGTGCCTGAGTGTGAGGAGAGACTCACTTTGACTTTGACGAGTGTGTGATGATTTCCCTTCCAATTCAACTTTAAAAGATCTCTAGTCACTAGTCTTGACTCTCTGGAGTGTCCTCGACCGCCAAACGCCTAGAATCCAGTAAATCGGATCCAGCACCTTCAGGCCTTTAGGTTCATGGATCCCATGGACCTGATGGACCTTTGCTCGTATAGGGCTCTGGCGCCCAAGCCCAGTGAACCAACTGCAAGGCCTGCAATGCAAAGTCGGGGCGTCGCAAATACTTGAATTGCTCTGAGGAAGAGTGGAACACTACCTTCAGATCTCTAGAAAGAAAGCAACCTGACAATTCAGCAGCTCCTTTCCGCCTTTTGGGTTCACAATGCGTGGCTTGACCTTTTGGATCCTTTTGGAGACCAAGTTTGCATCAATGTCAATGCGGTCTAGTAAGCTCTCCTCTTATAATACTTTTTGGCACTCTTGCCGCCACCTCTTCTCATCATTGCCCAACTGTAGTTGCCGATGACGTTTCCACTGAACGATGCGGTTATACCTCTGCCGCTCCATACTCCTCATGATAATTCACAATGGCAATTGACATTGAGCTCCCACTTTGGCCAATTCCTCGACCCGCGGCCTGGCTCAGCGGTACTTCATCCTGTGGATCAGCCTGGGCACTGAGAAATGTAGAATTCAATAGAATCCCGCAGAGTTCTTTGCCCATGTCCTTTGATTCCCTCAAGAAGAAACCATGCTTTGCACAGGGCAGCCAGTTAGCGAGCCATGCTCAAGAGACCTGAATCCCACAAGCACATACACACCAAAAAAAAAATATAGTCCTACCTCCTCGAATCCCGGCCTCGCTATTGCAGTGATGATTCATCTTGCTTTCCCAGTTGAGATTTTCAGAAGGGAAGGTAGCTGGGGCTTGCATGCACAACAAATATACATATATATATATAATAATATACTACAAATTATATATACATAGTGGAACTGACACTTTCCGCGATTCCAAAAAGCAAGCAAGAAATGCAAGTGCTCGCCAACACAACGTCCAAACTAGGTATCGAAGCCAGCGATTGGAGTGCTTTGGCCTTAGCCGAAGCTCCCTGGTGTCCAATCAGCTGAAATGACGAAACACTTGTTGCGAAGGATGGCGAGTTGCAAGAGGTCAACGTGACTTGTCTGCAGAATCCTAGACAGGTCCACAAGTTGCAGGAAGGACCTTGCCTGGCTTGCACAAAAGGGTCTTTGTAATCATCAACCTCTTGTACAGTCTTGCGGCAGGCATTTCTTTTCATGCCAGTCTGGAATCAACATAGTACAATCGTGATAACACATCAACGTAGACGTGGCCCTGGCATCATTGCACGACCTTTAAGTTTCGAAGGATCACAAGCTTGCTGCTTGCTGGTATAAACTGAGACCCCCAACTGCCAACTTGATCCTCCGGGCTCGTGAAATGCTCCGCTGACTCTCAAAAGAATATCCCTTCCCAAAGAAGATCTAGGCATGGCCTTGCGCATTTCTATGACTTGGTTTTTTGATGGGAACGGCATTGGGAAGGCAATCGGAGTCGCTAGCCTCAAATAAAGCCAATGTCTTTGGCCTCAAGGTCCACCCTCAAGCGCCAACATATTATACAATCTATACTCTTTGCAAAAAGCAGAATCAACTGGACGCATCATCTCTGTCCAATTCATGAATTGGGTGGGGTTATTTGATGCCAAATGAACAAACTTCCAATGCTGACTGACATGGTGGAGCTGGTTTTGCTTGTGTGCTCTGCATGAGAGCCTGAACACCAACATGGTTTCAGCGTCCATGAGTGTGTGAGGCATTGTAGAGAGTGCAAGCTGCAAGCAAAGCCAATCAGATCCAATGAGTATTAATTATATATGTAATATTATTCTAATTGAACCATGTGGCCCATGTGGGCCATGTTCGGAGCTTTCCAGGGTGAGTCCTTGGCCCATGCTTCAAAGGAGCGTGTGCTGCAATCCAAGGCCACAAGTGCTGTGGCATCTGCCTTGGCGTTCGCACTGAACTGGTGCCCATGTGGCCTAGAGTCAAGAGAGGAAAAAGAAGGTAAGGGCCCCCTTAAAAGGACTTAAAAAGGCTCCTCTAACTCTTTACAATATCTCACCAAATTCAGAGCATTACTTTGGAGACGGCATGGTCAAGGAACTGGTAAGCTCCACTTCGATCCAGAAATTGCTGACAACTGTTTGTGTGCTCTCCATTGCATGAGACATGTTCAGAATACATATCCATTTCTCGAGTTTTGGAAAGTTGTGTTGAATGTGCCTCTCTGAAGGCATCAACCCATAGCTGGCACCGAGGATCCGTACCCTGCATCCTCAAAGCTGATCTGCAAGCTATGTAGTAGCGAGGCACTTGTTCCTAATAGCTTGTGGTTTCTAGTAGTTTCTTGTTACTACTAGTAAGGCACTTGTTACTAGTAGCGATGCACTTGTTACTAATAGTTTGACACAAATGTTTTTCTGCAAGGCCTACGTCCACAATCGCTCACCTCATAGAAGGCGTTGAACATCTTTGAAAGGCATGTTGCCCGTCATTAGCAACATATGCACATTTTTGCGCAAACACTGGCTGAAGCAAATGGTGTTTTGTCCGTGAACCATGAACAATTGAGGCATTCCAAACTAAATCTATATAGAACAGTTCAGTTTGTCTGCATGTTATCATATTTTATTTCATCACATCATATTTCAGTATGGTACCTGGTAGCCATGATTTAGTGCTACGACTATCTCACCTGATGGTTTAGGATTTCTTGGTCGCCTCTCTGTGTTTTTGTCGTCTTGTAGGCTCCACCATCTCTGTTTTGCTCTCCGTCTCATTCCATGCTGCGACCCGGTCCGCCTCTGGCGGCCGCCGCTCAGAGCTGGGCACCGGCCGCTGGGCGAGGGGCAGGGCGGTCACCGCCTCACAGAGTCTGCAGCAGCCCTTTCGCCCCACATGCGGGCGCATCGCTATTAGCAACAAGTGCCAAATGTGTTTTCCCTCGTTTCCTTCAATTAAATTAATTAAATGTTGTGCTCAAGTGACCGCACCCTTTTT